TGTCACTTCATCATCACTTTATAATAGCATTCTTATAATTTCCTTGTCACTTCATTACCACTTCATTATCATTTTTTTACACTTTATTATCACGTATTAAAATTATATTCTCACTTGATTTTTACTGTATACTCATTTCCTTCCCACTTTCTTCTGACTCTGTTCTCACTTATTAAATTATTATTGTCACTTGATTGTCACTATATTTTCATTGTATAATAACTTCCTTAGTTCATTCTCAGTTCATTCTCACTCCTCTCACTTCCTTCGCACTTTCTTCTCACTCCACTCACTCCATTCTCACTTTATCATCAGATCTCTCACGTCTTTCTCACGTCATGATAACATTATTATAACTTCCTTGTCACTTCATCACCCATCATTATCACTTCTTACCACTTTCTTCTCACTAATTGAAATTTTATTCTCACTCTATCCTCACTCCTTCTCCCTCCTTCTCCCTCCTTCTCCCTTTCTTCTCCCTTCCTTCTCACTCCACTCGCTCCCCTCGTATCCCCACCGCTGCACCGTCCCACTAACCCTCAATACTCCCACCACTCTCTTCCCACTCTCTTCCCATCTTCCCCCGGAAACCACCACCCTCCCACCTTTATATACCTAAATCGCCCTTCCCGCATTTGTTCCCGCATTTGTTCCCGCATTTGTTCCCGCATTTGTTCCCCCATTTCTTCCCCTCCCCCCATTTTTCCCCTTCCCTCTACTCCCCCTCGCCTTCCCCCACCTTGATTCGCGAGGCCCGTTCTCCCAGGCCCAAGATCGCGCGCGCCGTGCGAATCCGCGCCAGGGCCTCCGGAAAACAGCGCCAGGCCCTAGGGCCGCGCCGCGCTTCTCCCGCGCCAGGCCCCGGCTACATACTTCCTCTGCCCATCCTCACAAACACACCCCACCATGTCCAATCTTCTCAAGCAGCGCTACTTGGACCTCTTGTCGTCGGGCGTGTTTTCCTCGCTCGGCCCCGCCACGTTGCACGCCCTCCACGCCGAGGTGGGCCAGTACCTCCGGGCCGCGGGCGACCTGCTCGACACCGGCGATCGCTATGCCCTTTACGAGCTCCAGTTCCACCTCCTGCTCCTCACCAACCACGACGTGGAGGCCAAGTCGTACTTGGACCAGTTCAACGACCAGTTTGCCGCGCACAAGTCGCAGAAGATCCGGGTCTTGCGGCTGATGTACGCCGAGGCCACCGGCGACATCCAGACGGCCATCAGCACGCTAGGCTCGGACCCGGACGAGCTCCGGGCGGCAAGGCGCTTGGCGACATTGTCGCGCCGGGCCGCCGGCGGCGCCTACAGCGCCCCGGAGTACATCCAGAGCTTGACGCGGTACTTGGACTTGCAGCCTGCGGACGAGGTGGTGTGGGCCGAGTTGGGCGACGTGTACAGCTCCGTGGGCCACTACGACAAGGCGGCGTTCTGCTTCAAGGAGGTGCTCTTGCACCGCCCGCTCGCGCACAACATGTTCTACAAAGCGGGGCTCAACTTGTACCTCCGCCACCTCTACTTGTGTGGGTTGAGGCTGGACAGGAAGGACGCCATGGCCGAGAACGTGGCGGTGCTCGAGCACGCCAGAGACTGTTTTCTCCGCAGCGTGGAGATCAACGGCTCGTACACGAAAGGCTGGCTTGGCGTGTACCTCGTGGCGCAGAGCTCGTTGTGGGAGAGCGCAGCCGGCAAGGCGCTTTACGCGGCCAGGAAGTCCGAGCAGGTGTTGGCGGACATGCCGAGGCTTGCCCGCTTGGGCCGGCAGCAGCTCATGCGGATCGAGGGCTTGGCGGACGCGGCGGCGTTCGAGGCTTTTCTTGCGGCTGTGGCCCCGAATTAGACCGTGCCGGCAGGTGCCGGCAGAGCAGATGCCTAGAATGGGCCTGCTTCCTGCGGCCTGTCAGCGGGGGGCTTTTTTCACCGAGGAGGTTCTGTGTGGCGCAGTCAGAAAAACGCCAGCCGCATGGAACACCCGCTATCGCCGAGGCCGAGTTTAGACGCACCATGCTGGGGCAAGCCTGTCGAGGCCGGGCGATTCTTCTGCAGCTGCCTCCACGTGGCCTGGCCTGACTGACGCCTGCCAGCAGGAAAGGCCGTTGTCGCCATTGACCAGCATATATGGACGGTCGCCCCAGCTGCGTGAGCGGGGAAGTGGTGGGCCCTCAGAGTAACCTGTGAGCAATGTCATAGGAGAGATTTGGGAGCAATGTCATAGGAGAGATTTGGGAGCAATGTCATCGCTATGTCAAAGGAAAGACCAGCACGCAATGTCAGGAGAGACCAGCACGCAATGTCAGAAGAGACCACCACGCAAAGGCCCGATCCAAACATGCGCCCAGCACTCCGGCGCAACAGCACCCTCGGCCCCACGCGGCGCCGGCGAATGTGCACCTGGGAATACAGCTCCCGAACACGGCTCCAGGAATTATGCAATTGGCTATATAGTGTCGAGGATCGCTGTACAAAAATATCTCTACAGGGCACCAGTCCTAGAACTCGCCCTTCTCGTGGATGTCGGCCCTGGCCAAGACGTCGTCCAAGATGCCGGCCGCGGCCGCCACCAAGCCCAAAAACGGCCGGGAGGGGTCCAAGACCTTGGAGCAGTACTCGGGGTGGTACTGGGTGCCGGCAAAGAACTTGTGGTCCTTGAGCTCCACAATCTCCATGCGCGCCTCGGACTCGTCCTTGCCAATGAACCTCAAGCCGTGCGCCTCGATCTGGCCAATGAGCTTGGGGTTGACCTCGTATCGGTGCCGGTGTCTCTCCATCACGCTGGCCGCGCCGCCGTAGCACTTCCTCAACTTGGACCACTCCGAGTCGGGCGAGAACTTGGTGGTGTGGATCCCCAATCTCATGGTGCCGCCCAAGTTGACCTGGTCCACGTCTGGCATGTACACCACCGCGGCCGTGGCCTCGTCGCCGTCCGGGTCGAACTCCATGGACGTCGAGTGCTCGAAGCCCAACTTGGACCGCACAACGTCGATCACGGCCACCTGCATGCCCAAGCACACACCCAAGTACGGCGTGTTGTTCTCGCGGGCGTAGTGGGCCGCGGCCACCATGCCCTCGATTCCGCGCGAGCCGAAGCCGCCGGGCACCAAGATGCCGTCGGCCTGGCACACCAAGTGCCACGCCTTGTGGTACTTGGCCAAGTCGCTGTCCTTGGTGGCCTCCTCCAAGTCCGAGGACTCCACCCACTCGATCTTCAAGCGGCGGTAGCACCGCATGGCCGAGTGCTCCAAGGCCTTGATCACGGACAAGTACGAGTCCTTCAAGTTGGTGTACTTGCCCACGAGCGCGATGGTCACGGTCTCGATGGACTTGTCGTGGGCCGACGTGATGGTTCTCCACGACGCCATCAACCTCTCGCCGCGCGCCCTGGCCGCGGGCGCCAACGACGCGGGCTCCAACCGCAACTTGCGCGACAAGAACTGGATCATCTTCTGCTCCTGCAACAACAACGGCACGTGGTACGTGGAGTTGACGTCGCGGATGGCCACCACCTGCTCCGGGCCCACGTGGCAGAACATGCCGATCTTGTGCACCGTGGCCACCTCCAACTCCTCGGAGCACCGGCACGCAATCATGTCCGGCGTCAAGCCCAACGACCGCAAGTCCTTGATGGCGGCCTGCGTGGGCTTGGTTTTCTGCTCGCCGTGGATCACCAACACGAGCGACACGTGGATCAACGCGAAGTTCTCCGGGCCCACGCGGAACTGGAACTGCCGCAACGCCTCCACAAAGGGCGCGCTCTCGATGTCGCCGACAGTGCCGCCCAACTCGATGATGCACACCTCGGGCTCCAAGCCAGACTCGTCCACGGGCACACGCGCCACGCGTTCGATCCACAGCTGGATGGCCCCGGTGATGTGAGGCACCACCTGCACGGTCTTGCCCAAGTAGTCGCCCTTGCGCTCCTTCTCGATCACGTGCGAGTAGATCTTGCCCGTGGTGATGTTGTGGTCCTTGGTCAAGGTGATGTTGAGGTACCGCTCGTAGTTCCCCAAGTCCAAGTCGACCTCGCCGCCGTCGTTCAACACAAAGCACTCGCCGTGCTCCAAGGGCGACATGGTGCCGGCGTCAATGTTCATGTAGGGGTCGATTTTGATGGACGTCACGCGGTAGCCCAAGGTCTTGAACAACAAGCCGGTGGACGACGCCAAGACGCCCTTTCCGATTCCGGAGATGACTCCGCCGGATACAACAACGTACTTCATAGCAGCGGCTAGACGTAAGTAGGGAGAGAAATGCGCGTGGCTAGAACCCGAAGGGGGTGGTCAGGCACTGTGTTGCTGGAGGTTTTCGGGTGCCCAGCGATAGTCGGAGCACGGATGAAAAAACCACCGGATATGAAAGGTCGGGCTGATACAGGAATGTGTTCCACGGACGGTGACGCAGGCCTGCAGAAATGTTACACTTGCCCTCTTAAACGAAGAATTTAAGCGGGAAGGAGGAAAGAAAAAGGTTGGGGGGACGAAGAAAAAACCTCGATGAGGTGTTGCGCGATGCCAGACGCGAGCGCGCGTGTGCAGGCCCGGCCCGGCTTTATTGCACGGGCTCCTTTGCATGTCTCGGTAGATCAGACACTGCTGGGCTGGGGCTTTGCTTTGCCGACAGCTGGTATTTGGAGTTCACCCAATTGTCAAGTAGACTGTGGCTAAAGAAGAAACAAAAAAAAAAAATCGTAGCTTTTTTGGCGAGCGGCTGAGCCCTCGCTTGTTGGTGCCAGAGACTATGTTTCAATGTTCTTTTGGTGCCAGAGACTATGTTTCAATGTTCCTTGCCAAGTGTAGAGGGCAAGCGTAGCGTTGTACCAGAAACGCCTGGCTGTCCAAATCCGGCTGTGAATGTTTACGTGTGCGCCGACGGTTTTGTGAAGCGGCGGTTTGGTGTCAGCACTCAAGTCAGAGCTCCACAGGGACTCACTCGAGACGAGTATACTATGTTTTCCTACCCGAAGTAGAAGGGTATAGCGATCAAGCGTTGCTGGGGCTGACGCGCAGAATCGGTGTTTCTTACGGCCTCTTCCAACGGTGCTTGTATCCGACTCGTCGTGCAGCAAAGACAAATAGCTGCGGGGGCGAAGGCTTTACAAACAGAAGCGATTCCAGCAAACAAACGACGTTTCAGCGAGGGAACGTTTTTTAGCGAATAGGAGGTTTCAGCGAACAGAAGCTATCTCAGCGAACAGAAGGTTTCAGTGAACAGAAGGTTTCAGTGAACAGAAGCTATCTCAGCGAACAGAAGGTTTCAGTGAACAGAAGCTATCTCAGCGAACAGAAGGTTTCAGTGAACAGAAGCTATCTCAGCGAACAGAAGGTTTCAGTGAACAGAAGCTATCTCAGCAAAGACAAGGCAAGCCAGCAAACACATGCATTACAGCAAAGAAATATGGCCACGATCAGCGTTCTTCCAGCCCGCATAAAACCCCGCTTCTGGAAACGACTTGATACCTGGCCATCGGTCAGAATCATCACTGGGCAAACCCAACAAGCTTCTCCGGCTGTGGTTCCCGTCAGATGTTGTTTCGCAACAACGCACATGGCATGCTTCGTGCCCACTCATCAGACATCTGCTACACAAAATACCCGACAGTTTCTCAAGAACCTCATGTCACTTCCCGCCAAACGGAAGCACCCGATCCCCCGAAATCCTCACACCATACCCTCTCTCGCATGTCTACAGCTGTGGGCTGAAATATACGCCTTGGTCGGATCCGTCTCGCGACAAAGGCACCTTTTTTCAGCCAGAGCAAATGCCCCATGATCTTCAATATTTGCCATTAGACGGCCCCAGCGCCAGCCGTGGACCGCCGCGGCAGGCCTACAATCCGTAAGAAAACTAGAGGCATATGTATAACTACTCAGACGATCTTCACGCCGCCGATCTCCGCAGGGTTGTCCTCAGACTTGATGATCTGCGCCTTCCCCTGCTTCGTCAACACCTGCAAGATCCGCACGAATAGCGTGCTGTCGATGTTCCGCAACTCCTCGTGGATCGCCGAGTCCTCCAGCTTGGTCAACTCGTACACGGTCAAAATGGAGCCCAACTGCCCCGTCTTTTCAACGTGGTCCCGGAGAAGCTCGGCCCACTCCTCCAAGGTGCGCCAGAGTATCAAGACGCCGGCGTCCTGATTCTTGCTGTTGACGTAGGTGGCCCGCTTGACCTTGTGGATAAGGTGGTGGAGAATGTCGCGGCAGAAGTCGGGCGACACGCGCCGCTCGATGTCGCTGTTCTCGAACAATCCTTCAACCGGCTCGCCGTCATTCTGCTTGCTCAAAACGGCACCCTGGGGCGATAGTATGTAGATCTTGTGGTACTGGCAGTACAGAAGCACCACCGTGCACCACTCGTTTAGCTGGTTTTCTAGAATCGTGGCATTGCTCTGCTTGGTGTAGAAGGGAGGAAACGAGTGGATTTTGGGGAACTGGAACATCTGCCTCAGGGAAGACCTGGAGAAGACAATCCATGCGTTCTTGGGTGCCAGATCACGTCTGGGGCCGCTGGCCGCGGAGGTACGGGTGCGCGCGGAGGCACCACCAGGACATAGGTGACGAATTCATCGGGTCTACAGGTACGCATTTTCCAAGAAAGATTATAGTTTCAATATACAGACGTAATCATGACAAGACGCTTAAGCCTCGGCCATGTCTCTCAAACGACGGATGGTGGATCTGACAGTGGCAGCGGCGGCGGTGGAAACCGTGTAAGCACCACCGGCAACGGTCTTCTTGCAAGCCTTGCAGGTCCAGATACCAGCAGCGCCTCTCTTGACGGTTCTCTTACCGCAGAAGGAGCAGTCGTACTTGGCGTGTTGCTGAACTTCCAACTTCTTGGTTTGTCTTCTCAAGGAAGAACCATATCTGACACCGAACTTACCAGTGATACCGACCTTCTTTGTTCTCTTAGTCCTGAATAGTTAGTATGATGATACGGAAGTTTTAAAGGGGGGAGGGGTGAGGCAAGCGTCTGGTGGCTGTGATGGGGAAAATATGTCTCGGGTGCCCATCTATAGAATGTGGCGGTTTCAAGAGTTCACGCCAGCCGTTTGCTGGATTTGGACATTGCATGGTTTCAGACGCCCGGATACATGTCAAGACTTGGCCATTTCCACGTTGCCGGGGGATTTACATACATCTTGCTGTGTTGTGGAGGTAGAGTTAAAAAAGCGCCTGGTTGTTTCTCGTGCAAGTTTTCTCAGCTGGTCGCACCCCAGCTCGGAAAATTTTTGTAGTGCGGCACACAGAATGGCACACTGCGGGTCACGTGCAGAGGCCTGAGCGTAGGGCTAGTGCCCCGCGCACCGGACAGAGGACGTTCCCAAAGGCTGCTTGCGCCCTGAACAAGATACGGCGTTTGGCTGAGTGGTTCGGGAACCTTGATTCCGTCATGACATCTTGGATTTCTGGTGCTCACGCGTATTTTGCATTTTGTTGGGGGTGTTGGTTCCAGGGATATAGTGGTTTGCTGCGCGTATTGTTATGTAGTGCGATGGATGCAGCGCTGAGCCGTCGGAGTAGAAAAGGCCTGGACAATTACACAATATTTTCCGGAGCTTTGGATTTAGTGAGTTCCTCATGAAATATGGCCTTTTTGCACGTGTATGAGTTCTTGATCTACGCACACCCAAAAGATCATATGATGCGGCCCAGTGCCTGACTTGCTCCCAGATCGTTACCACTAGCGCCGAATGACATCATTGGCTTTAGGGCTGGTGCAACTGGAGTGAAACCCAGCACGCCTGAAGAGTGCCCCACAGCGGGTTCATGCTAAAAATGACCGTGATTCTTAACAATGCTTTGTATTAATGCATCTTTGATGCTCTCCTTAAAAAACGCCAATTGTATGTACAGTGTCTTGTTCCACTGGCTGCAAACAACGACGCGCCATGGTTCATCACATGACCATCTCTGACCGTTTGCAGCCGCTAATGCTGGACTGATGTACGTCCTCTCCAACAAAGAACACATCAAGCTACAACTCTTTTCTCATTAAAGAACGCAAGCGCTACTCAGTACGTCTCTGTTTAATTTTGAAAAGCCAAACTTGTTCCACAAAGAACAAATACGTCGGCCCTAGAACCTAAACACCACCAAAAGGGAGACATTCCTACTCATCATATCCCGGGATCTGGGGTAGCTGTAAAAAGTCTACACACACGTAAAGCCAGCGGCAACTGTGACCATAATGTTCTGTGATCTGACCCCGGAACCCATCTCGTCTCCTCCGGTGATTCTGTCGCCGCTTCGGAAACTCCACAGACCGGGCCTCATTCTCGAAAACACCTCCTCGGCTCTTCCACCCGTACATAGCTACGATGGTTTCGACGCGGTGTGCAATCTCACTCCAAGCCAAATCTTGAGTATTCAGGAGGACCAGACCGACTACATCTGTGGTGTGCAGACCAATGCCCACGTGTGCAGAAATAGCTTTTATTGCCGCCGTCACCTGCTTGAGCAAAGAATGGAGGTGCGTCGGTCTTTGCCCTTGAAATGTTTGATGGAAGAAGAGCTGAAGAATGTGGCTTGGTTCCGCAAACGCCGGGTGCTCACAAAATTGTATCATGACTGCAAGTCGTACTGGCATAAGCACCCATCTGCTTCAACGACTCCGATGACCTGTTCCAGAACCAGCTGCGTCCAAAACGAGTCAAATGTGAGTTCCTCGCCGCTATGTGCCTCCGTATCGTCGTACAATGCTCCGGGAACAGCCGCTCGTATCGAGGAAAGTACATCTTCCCTGTTGAAAAAGGCATTTTTGAAAAGGTTGTCGCGTTCTGCTGATCTACACAAAGACGATATAGTGTCGTACTTATTTTACAAACTAGCTTGTTACGAGGAAGCTGGCATCGACATGAGAGCACGAGAATTGGAAGCACGCTATAGCGCCAGTGAAAATGATCTTGACATTGATCAGAATGGGCAGTGAATAAGTCAGATTGTATACCAACAAAGGAAAAATTTAAAAACATGAAGTGAAGAATGCTTAGTGCCCTCCATTTTGGGCATCATGAGTCCTGGGAAACAAATCAACTGCATCCATCTCAGTATCCTGCTCTTCAAAAGTAGGGCCTTGGTAAAGCCGAGGTTCCATGAGGGGTCTGATGCCGAGACCATTTGCTACCGGATCAGGCTGAAATGCTTGTGCAGCATTGTGAAATGTTGCCAATCGTTGCCTGTTTTGTTGTTCGAGGGTGAGAAGTTGCCGAAGAATTGCGTCTGTTTCGTTGAATCTCGATTCATTTGTATCGAAGCGGTTCTGCTGATTGACCTGCGTCCTCCTTAATTGCCCCAAGCCGCGTCGTTGCGCCCAGGTTTGCATTTCTTCTTCATTCAAGTTCGTAAATCCGTTTGTACCAGGTCTGGATGGGAACGCTGGGTTACCAAGGGTTTCATTCGGCGGAGATGGAGTGATTGCCAAACCGTTTGCGTCCATTGCACTTGGCTCAACGACCATTCCATCGGGTGCTCTGACAGCCCCTATTGGCGTCACTGCACTCATATGGTTTTGATATGCGTACTGCTCCAACATATAAGCTCGTTGATCCATCAAAGATGCTAGATAGCTTCTGAGTTTTCCAACCCCCTGGCCAGAAAATACACAAAACGAGGATTTCTGATTTTCTGTAAAATCAGGTGGTGGGTCTCTGCAGTATTGAGTGATCTCTCTGCGGAGAAAGGCAGAAATACCCGTTAACGACAAATGGGTGAGCCTCGGACAGCTCTTCAAGAGACAAAAAATGGGTCCTATGGTCAATTGAGTGCAATAAGACAAATGGACTCTCTCAAGACAATCTTGCTCCCCACGGCGACGTACCAATTCCATGATACCTGAATCGGTTATCATGTTGCACTTTACAAGGCCAATTCTTCTGAGTTTGGGCAATGTTGAAAGCTCAATCAAGGTCCAGTCAGTGAGCTGTGAGCAACAGGCTAGATCGATGTATTGAATGCGATGGCAATTTCTCACGAGCGCTTGAACACCAAAGTCCGTGACCAGGGCACAGTGACCGAGGTGAATGTAATGTAAACTGCGGCCTAGTTTGGTAAGATGTCTGAGAGAAGCGTCACCAATTTGCATACACTTCGAAAGCACCACGTTTCTTAGACGAGGAGCACATCTAACCATTCGCTCCACAAGCTTGTCGGTGATGGCGTTGCACCCTGTGACATCAATGATTCGCAATTTATCCAAAAAACAATCATCCGGGATGAGCTCGAAAAGATCGTCTGTGATACCCGCCGCGTTGCTGATGCGAAACTCACGAAGCTGACTTAGTTCGGCAAAAATACGTTTCAAATGAGTGTCCGTGACATTCGGACAGTTGTGAAGGTCAATTTCCACCAATGACTTGCAATTCTCGTACATCGCCAATATGCTTCTATCGCTGATATTCTCGCTGTTATTAAACTTGATTCTTTTGAGCATGGGGCACGATTGTAATAACTGAATAATAGCTTCTTCGGATATATTGCCACAGCCTGGGGCATAGAGCCCTTGCAAACGCGGACAATTTTGGGCCAATGCATAAATTATGTCATCTTGTATATCTTGCACACCAGTCATGTCGATGGACTGCAACCTGTTGCAATTCTTCAATACTCGAGAAATCGGCATGTGGTTAAGCTTAGTGCAGTTGACCAATGTTAATCTCTCCAATTTCGGACACCCTCTAAAGAGATCCAAGAGTTCGTCGTCAACAAACTTGGTCATGAAAGAGAGGTTGAGTCGCTTGATGTAGTTTCGGTAATCCCAGTGCGTTAGCCCACGAGGAAGTTCTAAGATATCTTTGATTTTCTGGAAGGCAGTATCACTCTGCATGTTTGGCCTGAACCACATGATCTCAACGATGAGACTGGACAAGTCACGGCAGACAGTCAAGAGGGAAAACAAATCTCGCTTGTCCAAGTACTTGAAGATCTGGAGTAGCACCTCAGTGGGCAACTGTAAGAGCCTTGAGTGCACCACATTGTGCATCTGAATCTGCGATCTGTGCACTTTAGAGTGGTGCCGCTCGTGCAAAATTGATTGGTGCATTGCCTGGTAGTCACCCTGCTCGTTATCGAGGGTGTGATAGTCGTTTTGATGATATGCCGGGGTCAGCGCCGAGAAATACGACGCCAACTTGTCCCGCTTCGATAGCCTTCCCTCGGAGTTTTGGAGAGCCATAAGGTACAAGAAAAACGACAGGGAGCGCTGTCAGTTGATAGGTGGTGTTCTGGTCCCAAAATTTGCCTTCCTTTAGTTGAGTCCTGCGAGTTCTTAATGAAGGCGATGCTGTCAATTCTTCTGCTAAAACGAACAAAGAAATAACCAGAGGTTCAACTTTAAAAATTTCAAAAGCGTAATCTTAGAACGAGATGCTGAAAAGATCGGTGTTTCTAAGAATTACGTGGGGTACACGTCTGTCGAAGGGCGAATCCCAAGAAGCCGCTGACAAATGATAAGCTCTGATGCTTGCGAAGAGTTATTTGAGCAGAGCAGCTAATACACAATTTGAACAAGGCCAGTTTCTGGGATCTTGCAAGCCTTTTGACCTCGTGTAGTATTGAGATTTTTGCACTCAGTATCTAGTCCACAAAAAGTGATATCAAGTGAAGGCGGCTTCAACACTGGTTTCGCATTTTGGGCTAGCAGGCTCAGTTGGCACATGTGCAGTACAATCAACTATTACTGCCTGGCACATGAAACCTTGAAATAGATTAAGGTACAACGGGCCTAGCGGACTTCATGGTGTATGATAAAAGATTAGTGCATATAATTATTGCCTTTATGGATCGGGTGCCGTGATTTTCCTTTTATTTAAATATGATGTTGTAGCTTATTTGCAAAGATAGATACGGGGAGCCGTATGTACATGCGAAGGGCTTATGCGCTCCCGTTCCTCTGTATTTTACCAGCTGGCGCTCTGCTCGGCCTGGGAAATTGCAGGACCATTGATATGTTTCTTTTCTTTCTTCTTTCGCTTTGCTAGCAAAACAAATCTCCAAATTTGCTCCGCCAAGTTTCTAAGAGAATATTAGTTCTTCTGAGGTAGCATAGTATTTCCAATACAGCGTGATCAGGATCCACGAATTTAGAAAAACAGGCTTTGATCTTGGCTGCTCCTACCCGCAACAGGAGTTCCAGGGTTGGAGGCATATCCCATGGCAGCCGACTGAAGAGATAATTGTTCAAGTTGTCTCATTACATGTGCATCTTGATTGAATTGAGTCTCTGGTGGGCCATACGGAGCACCGGTGCCCACACCAAAATACAGGGTATCGAAGCCGCGACCAGAATCATTGTTTGAAATCGAGTTGATTCCATACAGTGCGCCATAAGGTGGATAGCCTGGTTGATTCTCATTCGGGATTCCTCCATACCCGACTGGAGCCCCCATGTTAGAGGCTTGAGCCATCTGAGAATAAACCAGAACACCGTTACGATAGGGCGAATGGGTTTGGCCATTGCGCATGTTTCCGTGTCCTCGTTTAGACTTCCTGTTGCTCGAGCTAGTTCTGCTGAGCCGGCCATTGGAGAGACCCACTTCATCCATTAGTTTCTTATACGGCTGAACATTAGCGATATGCATCTCGAGAAGAACTCTTTTAACTTGACTTGTAGCAAATTGGTGATACTTAGGATCTTCGTTCCCATCTTCAAGAACAAAAAGGGATGTGTATGAGAGTACTTTTTGCAAAAACATCGGACCAGCATTGTTTTCGTTGCTTTCGCGCAAAATGTGCTCCAACAATTTGGTAGGTGGTTTCCCTTCATTGTGCTCACATTCGACATAGGGGGCAAAGATGGCATCCATGATCCTTTGTCTGGTAGTAGGATCACTCTTGCTGTTCAAAAGCTTGAAGATGGTCACATTGGCTAATTTGTGGGTGCATAGTTTGTCCAAATGAGGTAAGAACTTTTCGCAGAGAATGCCGGCCCGTATATCGGGCTTCTGGTTACTGAAACCACGAAACGTTTCTAGGAACCATGTGATCAAAAGCGAACCATTGCTACTCACAACCAATTCATTCGCATGCTCCACTATGAGACTCGACACCAACACCAACTGTTCATGAGTGACGACATTCTTCGCAGGACACTTGCTGTCATTCAACGTCTCCAAGATTGTTCTAATGCAGCGCACTCCAAATCTTCCCGAACTGATTTCCATAAAATTGGTACAGATCGTCTCGAAAATAAAGTCATTGTAAGGAGACTCGAATTTGAGACAACATTGTAGAACATAGTTGCCAAATTGATCATTGAAGAGTTTCACTGCAAAAGGACGAATGCTCTCCGCAATCAAAATTTTCTGCTCGGGTTCGCCTTGGGACGAATTGATTATTTTCTGAATCGCCCATGTTCCATTTTTATGAGTTCCCAAGAGTGCTAGATAAGGAAGGATACGTTTCACCATTTGCAATCTGATTTCCGTGGATTCAAGAACGGTGAATATCTTTTGCACAACCGTGTTCCCAATATGATCGTAGCACAATTCTGGCAATTCGTCCAACATCTCAGTGGCAAGAGATTCGAGCTCAGCCTGAGACATCACCGAGGTCTCATTGTCGGCCTCGGGGCTTTGGGAACTTTGCAAGGCCTTTTCGTTTGCCTCTAAGGATTTGCGCAACTCCCTGATTTTGGGAGCATCCATCTGGCGCGCAGCGCCAGAGTCAGGAAGAGAACCAAAGCTAGTCTTGTATTCCGACTTCGGATACTTTACTGCGTTGCTTATGATTGAAGAGACTTTTTTGAAATCAATTGGGAAGGGTCCGGCAATATGCACACATGTTGCTAGGATAGAATCCACGATTGACGAGAACTCCACATCTGGAGGGCTTTTAATTGCGTTGTTTCGAACGTCCGGTTCACCACGATCTTTAGTCGCAGCTTTACACATGCCCATGTGAAAGTTGTTTGAGTCACCATATGGATTCGTTGACGAAGGGGCAGGATGCGAGCTAGATGCTTTCGGTCTATCCGACACTTTGGCGAAGGCGACATAGAGAATAGCTCCTGGAACAATCTCTAGATGATTGAAATTGGCCTTGAGATTCATCGCCACCTCGATAGAAGGGCATATGATCAAGGCCATTTTGGAGTTGCTTGTCAGAGCCACTTGCACGCTGAGAACGCCGCGATTGTGGAAGCCAGAAGTCATTCCTGTTGGTTGACTGAGAAGCCGGTAAAGCTTCGACGCGTCAAGAAACTGCGGGACATTGTCGAGGAGTAGCGTATTGGTTGGGCCCAAACTGGGGTTTTCAAAGTTTGTGGTGATCAGCAAGTCGAAGAAGTTGAAGTCGTCCTCCAAGAAAGGCTCGGCGTTGGCATGGGCCCCAGGCCCAGACGGCTCGGAGGGCTGGCTTGGCTGCAGGCTATGATGCATGTTTCGATTAGGGTAGGAAGGCATGTTTTGATTAGGGTAAGAAGGCATGTTTTGAGACGCGCTCTGTGAGGCCTGCAAGAGAGGCCCCGCAACCACGCTGGGCGAGGCCGAATAGGAGATCTTCGGGTACACGCCGGAGTATGTTTGTGAGCGGTTGCGAGTCCCCTGTGCGGGCAGCTCGTTGGAATTAAGGTCAAACGTGTCGATGAACGACATCGGGTCATCGTGGGATGAATGCAAGAATGGGGAGAAGTTGGGCCGGAAGGCGTCCGCCTTCAGGACAGTAGGGGCAAACGTCAGCCCGGAGGTCGTGTGGGAGCGGTTCCTGGGCTGGCTGGCAAACCCATACGGCGCCGGCTGGGGAATGAGGTTGGGGCTCAAGAACGACGACGAGCTCGGCTTGGACGAGGGTAGGCCGGCATGCGACAGGTCCGGGAAGAGGTCCAACGTGCCTCCCCCGCTGGAGATCGAGCGGTCAGGCGAGTGGTTGTGGAGCGCGTCGTCGTTCCAGATGGAATTGGTGGAGAACAACGAGCCGGAGCGAACCCTCCGGCCATTGGAGGGGCCGGTGGAGCCAGCGGCGCCGAGCAACAACAGAGAGAGGTTGGCCGGGGAGTCCGCGTCGAGCGCCGGCGGATGCATCTCCGCGTCCAGCAAGAGCTCCGCCAGAATGTTGAACACGTCACCCAGAACCGACGGCACCTGGAGCTCCGCAAGAGCGGAAGTGTGGGGCGAAAGGCCGGCGGGGTCTCGGTGGCCAGGGTCTCCCAGAGAAGGGGCCGGCGAGTCCAGAGTCACGAGAATGCCGTTGATGGCGATTGGCGATACCTGGGCATGTGACGCCAGCAGGGCCGTCTGCACCTTGGTGTCGCCGACGCCAGAAAGTGAGATGGTGGGCGGGGAATTGGTGACCATGGAATGCTGGAGGGAATATGCGGCTTTGCTTTGTGCCAGGGCTGGGTTGGGTGCTTGTGCTCGGGGAGCCGAGGCAGGGAAAAAAAAAACGGTGAGAAGTCGGGGATCAGACGGGTGCTGTTTTGGGGCGGGCCGGAACAAAAGGTGTATGGAAATTCCAGATTGGAGCGGCTGGGGGAAGATGCAAGCGAGCGCAGGAAAGTCGGCTGTGGGGCAAAAGGGATCAAGTGGGTTTTGTCTGGCACAGGCTGGATGGATGTGGAGGACCCATTCGTTTTTCCGGGCGGTGGAGAGTGGAAAGGAAAAAGCTTGTGATCCGGCCCGTCACGGTGATTGGCAATTGTGCGTGGAGGCAGTGGGCGGGCGAGCGAGTGACGTGTGGGCGAGGCCGGGGCAGGAATAGGGGAGCGCGGGGCCAGGGCCTGGGCGCAAAATCGGGCCAGAAAAAGAGTCGAGGGAAAAAACCGCAACCGCCGCCCGCTGGGAGACAATGGCGCCGCAGGGCCTAGCTTTTTGGGCCACGCCGGGGTGGGTGGCCAGGAGCGTATAGTGGTTGTAGAGTGGCATTGAGTATTGCCTGGAAAACTGTTCTAAAAATAAAATAGTACATAGATGAATACGAATATGAATATGAAGGGGTGAACATTATAAAATATAAATTAAAGAAGAAGATTCTCATAAGAAAATTGAAATAATATTGGCCAGGAATGTATCTAGTGGGTGTAGAGTGAAATCAAATGCGGCTTAATAATGTCCTGTAATATTTGCCAGGATCGGGTATAGTGGTTGTAGAGTGGTATTAAGTATGCCTGAATACTGTAATATTGGCCAGGATCGTATATAGTGGTTGTAGAGTGAAATTAAATATGCCTGGAATTTTGTTCTGTTATATTGGCCAGGATCGAATTGTGGTTGTAGACTGAAATTAAATATGCCTCAATATTGTCCTGTAGTATTGGCCAGGATCGAATTGTGGTTGTAGACTGAAATTAAATATGCCTCAATATTGACCTGTAGTATTGGCCAGGATCGAATTGTGGTTGTAGACTGAAATTAAATATTCCTGGAATACTGCTCTGAAATATTGGCCAGCATCGTATATTGATTGTAGACGGACATTAAATATGCCTGAATACTGTCTTGTAATATTGGGCGCAGGACAATGTAGCGGGGCTACGTCGGCCGCCACACAGATCTGTAATACTTGGCTAGGGAGGATCCGTAAATAATGACCAGATTTCAAATGTATCGAGGGCATTATAAATCTGCAAAGCTCCGTGACATCGGTCTGTGGCGCAATTCTATACTTCTGTATCATACCTGGCCCACCGCCCTAAAACTCCGCACTTGTCGGCTGTGGCGTCCCGGAAAACTGAGATCTCACCACTTTCACCTAGCACTAAAGAGAATGAACTAGAGCCCATGGTCTTTCAAATACAAATGTTGTTACTTCAAGAATAGACAACCGAATAACAGAAGAAAGATGATTACGGGTATTACTAACTTGTGAACTAAAATCATTCCTGTCCGTCAGACACGCTGCTCGGGAGCCAGGTATAGATCGTAAAACTATTTATCGAATATATACTCTAATGACAGCAAACCATATTCAGAGCGTCATGATCTTATTACAAACAAAATGGAATATCCAACTAAAATATCACGTCAATTGATACTAATATAGAGACTGATCCTACTTTATTACCCAATCATACGTCAAGCCTTTGGCCCGGCCGCAAGAAGATGGCAACCACGCTGCTCTAAATTGGGTCTCAGGCTTCGTGGCCTTTCCCGCACTTCCGCGAGGTCCATGCTGCGAATGGCCAGAGCCGTTTTTCGAATGTGATTGGTGCTTCGCTCGGGGCGCGCGCTCCTCAATGGCTAATTAACCTGGCCCCACTAAATGTGCCGTTCGCTATTGCTAGCAACGGTTTGGGCCGAGCGTGTTTATCGAGCACGATGAGCGCCCGGCCCGGCGTGCCCGGCCCTTTCCAGAAATCAGTTAAATGTAAGTGCATCTGTCTGGCACTGGCTCTGGAGACTCACGTCTGGCTGCGGCCGTGCAGTACCTGGGTGCCCAGGCATCTCCCCAGGCTTCCAAATAATTTAAAATGGGAAGATCGCCAGATGTGTCGAGGCACGCCGCCCAGTCTTGGAGCTAAATGTATGGGCTCGTTTTGGGGCAGGAGCCCGGCACGGCCGATGGCAGGCCACTGATAATTCGGGCCATGCGCTAATACTTCGGGCCATGCAACACCGCACCCATGAGCCCCAGGCCGGACCACAGCCAAGTTTGCAGTCACTCCCCAATTCCTGTGACGACAATGAAATGCTTCTTGCAGACAGACCCGTCAAGCCCGGCTTTTTCCCGTTTTCGATCCACCCCATGAGAAAAAAAAAAGAAGGCGTCGCCAGACATTGTCTTTTGACAGGCCCTGCGGATTTTTCGAGAGGCCCTGCAAATTTCTCGAGAGGCCCTGCAAATTTCTCGAGAGGCCCTGCGAATTTCTCCAGTGGCCCTGCGAAATTCTCCAGTGGCCCTGCGAATTTCTCCAGT